CACAAGGAAAGTAACTTTGAACCCAGTTTTATGGCATGTTAAGGGTGTCTCCTCTGCTCTAACCTTCACAAGGAAAGTAACTTTGAACCCAGTTTTATGGCATGTTAAGGGTGTCTCTGCTCTAACCTTCACAAGGAAAGTAACTTTGAACCCAGTTTTATGGCATGTTAAGGGTGTCTCTGCTCTAACCTTCACAAGGAAAGTAACTTTGAACCCAGTTTTATGGCATGTTAAGGGTGTCTCCTCTGCTCTAACCTTCACAAGGAAAGTAACTTTGAACCCAGTTTTATGGCATGTTAAGGGTGTCTCTGCTCTAACCTTCACAAGGAAAGTAACTTTGAACCCAGTTTTATGGCATGTTAAGGGTGTCTCTGCTCTAACCTTCACAAGGAAAGTAACTTTGAACCCAGTTTTATGGCATGTTAAGGGTGTCTCTGCTCTAACCTTCACAAGGAAAGTAACTTTGAACCCAGTTTTATGGCATGTTAAGGGTGTCTCTGCTCTAACCTTCACAAGGAAAGTAACTTTGAACCCAGTTTTATGGCATGTTAAGGGTGTCTCTGCTCTAACCTTCACAAGGAAAGTAACTTTGAACCCAGTTTTATGGCATGTTAAGGGTGTCTCTGCTCTAACCTTCACAAGGAAAGTAACTTTGAACCCAGTTTTATGGCATGTTAAGGGTGTCTCTGCTCTAACCTTCACAAGGAAAGTAACTTTGAACCCAGTTTTATGGCATGTTAAGGGTGTCTCTGCTCTAACCTTCACAAGGAAAGTAACTTTGAACCCAGTTTTATGGCATGTTAAGGGTGTCTCTGCTCTAACCTTCACAAGGAAAGTAACTTTGAACCCAGTTTTATGGCATGTTAAGGGTGTCTCTGCTCTAACCTTCACAAGGAAAGTAACTTTGAACCCAGTTTTATGGCATGTTAAGGGTGTCTCCTCTGCTCTAACCTTCACAAGGAAAGTAACTTTGAACCCAGTTTTATGGCATGTTAAGGGTGTCTCCTCTGCTCTAACCTTCACAAGGAAAGTAACTTTGAACCCAGTTTTATGGCATGTTAAGGGTGTCTCTGCTCTAACCTTCACAAGGAAAGTAACTTTGAACCCAGTTTTATGGCATGTTAAGGGTGTCTCTGCTCTAACCTTCACAAGGAAAGTAACTTTGAACCCAGTTTTATGGCATGTTAAGGGTGTCTCTGCTCTAACCTTCACAAGGAAAGTAACTTTGAACCCAGTTTTATGGCATGTTAAGGGTGTCTCTGCTCTAACCTTCACAAGGAAAGTAACTTTGAACCCAGTTTTATGGCATGTTAAGGGTGTCTCCTCTGCTCTAACCTTCACAAGGAAAGTAACTTTGAACCCAGTTTTATGGCATGTTAAGGGTGTCTCTGCTCTAACCTTCACAAGGAAAGTAACTTTGAACCCAGTTTTATGGCATGTTAAGGGTGTCTCTGCTCTAACCTTCACAAGGAAAGTAACTTTGAACCCAGTTTTATGGCATGTTAAGGGTGTCTCTGCTCTAACCTTCACAAGGAAAGTAACTTTGAACCCAGTTTTATGGCATGTTAAGGGTGTCTCTGCTCTAACCTTCACAAGGAAAGTAACTTTGAACCCAGTTTTATGGCATGTTAAGGGTGTCTCTGCTCTAACCTTCACAAGGAAAGTAACTTTGAACCCAGTTTTATGGCATGTTAAGGGTGTCTCTGCTCTAACCTTCACAAGGAAAGTAACTTTGAACCCAGTTTTATGGCATGTTAAGGGTGTCTCTGCTCTAACCTTCACAAGGAAAGTAACTTTGAACCCAGTTTTATGGCATGTTAAGGGTGTCTCTGCTCTAACCTTCACAAGGAAAGTAACTTTGAACCCAGTTTTATGGCATGTTAAGGGTGTCTCTGCTCTAACCTTCACAAGGAAAGTAACTTTGAACCCAGTTTTATGGCATGTTAAGGGTGTCTCTGCTCTAACCTTCACAAGGAAAGTAACTTTGAACCCAGTTTTATGGCATGTTAAGGGTGTCTCTGCTCTAACCTTCACAAGGAAAGTAACTTTGAACCCAGTTTTATGGCATGTTAAGGGTGTCTCTGCTCTAACCTTCACAAGGAAAGTAACTTTGAACCCAGTTTTATGGCATGTTAAGGGTGTCTCCTCTGCTCTAACCTTCACAAGGAAAGTAACTTTGAACCCAGTTTTATGGCATGTTAAGGGTGTCTCCTCTGCTCTAACCTTCACAAGGAAAGTAACTTTGAACCCAGTTTTATGGCATGTTAAGGGTGTCTCCTCTGCTCTAACCTTCACAAGGAAAGTAACTTTGAACCCAGTTTTATGGCATGTTAAGGGTGTCTCTGCTCTAACCTTCACAAGGAAAGTAACTTTGAACCCAGTTTTATGGCATGTTAAGGGTGTCTCTGCTCTAACCTTCACAAGGAAAGTAACTTTGAACCCAGTTTTATGGCATGTTAAGGGTGTCTCTGCTCTAACCTTCACAAGGAAAGTAACTTTGAACCCAGTTTTATGGCATGTTAAGGGTGTCTCCTCTGCTCTAACCTTCACAAGGAAAGTAACTTTGAACCCAGTTTTATGGCATGTTAAGGGTGTCTCCTCTGCTCTAACCTTCACAAGGAAAGTAACTTTGAACCCAGTTTTATGGCATGTTAAGGGTGTCTCTGCTCTAACCTTCACAAGGAAAGTCTCTGCTCTAACCTTCACAAGGAAAGTAACTTTGAACCCAGTTTTATGGCATGTTAAGGGTGTCTCTGCTCTAACCTTCACAAGGAAAGTACTTTGAACCCAGTTTTATGGCATGTTAAGGGTGTCTCTGCTCTAACCTTCACAAGGAAAGTAACTTTGAACCCAGTTTTATGGCATGTTAAGGGTGTCTCTGCTCTAACCTTCACAAGGAAAGTAACTTTGAACCCAGTTTTATGGCATGTTAAGGGTGTCTCTGCTCTAACCTTCACAAGGAAAGTAACTTTGAACCCAGTTTTATGGCATGTTAAGGGTGTCTCTGCTCTAACCTTCACAAGGAAAGTAACTTTGAACCCAGTTTTATGGCATGTTTAGGGTGTCTCTGCTCTAACCTTCACAAGGAAAGTAACTTTGAACCCAGTTTTATGGCATGTTAAGGGTGTCTCTGCTCTAACCTTCACAAGGAAAGTAACTTTGAACCCAGTTTTATGGCATGTTAAGGGTGTCTCCTCTGCTCTAACCTTCACAAGGAAAGTAACTTTGAACCCAGTTTTATGGCATGTTAAGGGTGTCTCCTCTGCTCTAACCTTCACAAGGAAAGTAACTTTGAACCCAGTTTTATGGCATGTTAAGGGTGTCTCTGCTCTAACCTTCACAAGGAAAGTAACTTTGAACCCAGTTTTATGGCATGTTAAGGGTGTCTCTGCTCTAACCTTCACAAGGAAAGTAACTTTGAACCCAGTTTTATGGCATGTTAAGGGTGTCTCTGCTCTAACCTTCACAAGGAAAGTAACTTTGAACCCAGTTTAGCCCCTTTTTGTCTCTAAAGCCAACCTCCTCAGCTCAGTGCCTCAGACTGGTCATTCTATTTTAAAGGAGAAAGTGTTGCTTGATTCTGGATTGCAAATAAAAGCCAATTAAGATCTTTAAACTAAATTTGTAATCTTGTTTTATGACAGTTCTGGCCAACATGGACAAAGGGACTGCAGGGACATTGCTGACAACTCCTGAGATCCCTTGAGGTGTGCAAGAGACACTGCCCATGTCTTTGGAGGCTCCCCTGTCTGCTTCAAAGAGTCCAAAGATTGTACAACCATGGTCAGACTTGACTTTTTTTTTTTTTTTTGAGACAGCCTGTCGCCCAGGCTGGAGTGCAATGGCGCAACCTTGGCTCATTGCAACCTCCGCATCCTGGGTTCAAGCGATTCTCCTGCCTCAGCCTCCTGAGCAGCTGGGATTACAGGCATGTGCCACCACACCTGGCTATTTTTTTGTATCTTTAGTAGACATGGGGTTTCACATGTTGGCCATGGTCTCAAACTCCTGACCTTGTGATCCGCCTGCCTTGGCCTCCCAAAGTGCTGGGATTACAGTAGTGAGCCGCCTGCCTGGCTTAGACTTTGCTCTTTTTGCACCGATCCCCTTGATCATTTTGGCTTCCAATTCCAGGATTAGTTTGTGCTGTGAGAGGAAACATGAACTCGGGGTGGGGACCAAGAATTAGTTTGTGCTATGTGACAGCATATGACCTTTTGGAGTTTGCAGTGGCTTGGTGAGTCACTGGCAAGAGTGACAGTCTTGACAGAAACATAACTTGGTCCCCTAGGGAGGTCTCAGGTGTCTGACTGGGTCAGACAGAAACTGCAGGGGGTGTAAACTCTGGCTTTCAGAAATTCACAGGGATTTTATGTCTATTATCTTAATTTCTTTTTCTTGTATGCTTAGGTAGGGAAAAATCATTGGCTGATTCAGTTAAGGGGATCTCAATGCCAAAACCAGAACGTGACTGGTGGGCACGAGTCAGGCACTTGAGAGCATCAGAATACTTGCCACCAAAAAACAGATTCTTGGATTAGGATAAGCAAGTCATGGAAATGGGTCAGCTTCAAGAAAACTTCTGTGCAAGGAGGGAACATGTGAAGGCATTACATGGCTCAACCCTGTGGCATTTCTTTTTTTTTTTTGAGAAGTTTCACCTCTGTTGCCTAGGCTGGAGTGCAGTGGTGTGATCACAGTTCACTGCAGCCTCAACCTCCTGGGCTCAAGAGATCCTCCTACCTCAGCCTCCCAAGTAGCTGGGATCATATTCATGTGCCACTATGTCCAGCTAATTGTTTGTAGAGATGGGGTCTCCCTTTATGTCTATAAAGCCAACCTCCTTGGCTCAGCTCATCCTAACATTCTACTTTATAGAATGAGGCAAATAAAAGCCAATTAAGATCTTTAAAGTAAATGTATTAGAATTTTGTCTTTTGACACCTGTTCTCCTACCCTAGATTGTGAGCTTCTTAAGAGAAAGGATTTTTTTTTTTTAGGTTGTTTAAAGAGATTCCTTTAATACAACGAATACAAAAACATGTTGAGATAGTACCCCCACAATTACACATTTTTGAACAACTGAAACTACGGTTACCAAACAGCTCTTTTTATTATAGCATCTACAATGCCTGAAAAAGGCTGTAATAAATAACTGTAGACGAATCGTAAGACACCCATTTATTTAATCACAGTAGATCGTATTACACAGTATCTCCATGTCTTCCTTCTTCAGATTCTCCAGGCTTACGAATGTCATCAATCTTCAAAATCATTCTAACCATTTGTGTCACAAGAGATATTTGTTGCTTTTTGCCAATCAAGGTTTCTATGACATGCTGTTGCTTCATATCATTTGTCCCCCTGTGCAAACAGTCGATGCCAAGAACAGGGTTCATCTCCTTCACTTGTCTGGCTCGGACTTCGGTCATAGTCTGGATGGGATTCATGCCACTGTTTTCAGAAAGGGCCATGGGGATGACCTGCAGTGCATCAGCAAACGCTCTCATGGCATACTGTTCTAAGGTGGGGCACTTATCTGCCTCTTGGCTAACTGCCAGGGCACAGGATATCTCAGCAGCCCCCCTCCATACACCACACGATTATCACGGATGAGGTTCCAGATGACACACAGAGCATCGTGAAGGGATTGTTTCGCCTCCTCCATGATCATCTTATTTCCTCCTCTAATAAAAATGGTTACAGCTCTGGAGTTCTTACACTGCTCGATGACCAGCATTTTATCTTTAGTCGTTCCAAATGAGATCTCCTGTACAAGACCAGCAAAGCCCAACTTCTCGGCTGTGAGCTCTGAGAACCTGGGGACAATCCGCCCTCCTGTTGCAATGGCAATCAGCTCAATTTCAGGTCCTCCTACCCAGCGCACTGCAGGCAAGTTGTTCTGAAGAAGTAAGTGATTTGCTTCATCATCAAAGCCCCACTGACAAATTGCTAGGTTAGCACCAGTCTCCTTAATCTGTTGACTCATCTCTTCAAATTTCTCCTTTTCATATTTCTGAAGGGCTTTATAATCTTCTACAGAGGTCACATCCAGCTTATGCTTCGTTTTTGGTTTGGGTGGTTCGAACGGACATATGAGAATTGTAATCTTAGCATCTTCCATTTTTTTCGGCATCTGCGGGTGACTGAAATCCTTGTCCATGATCACGCCCTTAATCAGCTTAGTGTCCTCCAGCCTGCCACCCACTTTGCCTTCTACTTTGATAAGCTCAAAGTCCACATCTCTGCGCTCCATGTCTGCTACAGTGAGGACGGCATTCACAGCGATCTCGGCCATTTGTCGGTGACAACTGTTGACCACTTTGGAGCCCAGTGTGGTTTTTGCAGTCTGAATCAGGGGTTCGGTGTCCTTTATGTCAACAAGGACGCTATCACTGATCTTGTGCAGGTGTTCAATAGCAACGCAGGCAGCCTGCTCTTAGCCATCAGCTATTCTGATTGGGTGAATGCCTCGGTCTAGCAACTGCTCGGCTTCTTCTAACAAGGCACCAGCCAGGACAACCACTCCTGTGGTTCCGTCTCCAATTTCATCATCCTGAGACTTGGATAGTTCCACCATCAGCTTGGCAATCTGATGATTGACATCCATCATGCTTAAGATGGTGGCACCATCATTAGTTACAGTCACATCGCCATCCTTATCCACCATCATCTTATCAAGCCCATTTGGTCCAAGTGACGTTCTCATTGTATTTGCCACAGCCTTTGCTGCCATTATATGAGACTTGAGGGCCTCAAGGCCCATAAGACGGGACTTGCAGTCTTGATCCTTGATGATAAGGAAAGGCCGCCCATATTCATCGAAGGCGAGGGTCCCCATGGACACCATAGTGCAGCCCCAGGAGTTACTTTTTCAGATTGTTTCTTTCTTACCTGTACATCGTCAGTGGCCAGTAATGCCTAACATAGTGTTGGGGCTTAATCGGTATTCATTGAATACATGAATAAAGCACAAAATAGAGACACATAAACAGGTAACTACATTTAATACAATTTTAGGCACTGAATTAAACAGTTTGCTTGCATTACATCATTTAATATAACAACCTTTAAAGGTGAAGAAACTGGCTTAGGAGAGGGTATTAACGATTATCTGACATCCAGAAGCCTCCTACTCACTTCCAGTGTTGGCCGTCTTGTTTCTCAGAAACAAGACAAGTCAGAGACAATCAGGATTAAACCATTGGAAGAGATGGTGCTCTTCTGGGATCTGCAATGGTTAGGCGCCAGACTGCCTAGGTTCAGAGTGTGTGACCCGGCTGAACCTTTATTAGTATCAGTCCTAGCAGTAGCGGTCCTTTCTCTGCTGAATTGAACAGAGTCCAGCATCCTGCACTCTGCTTCAAAACTGAGTCGAGTATGCATATTTCAAAACATCATGTTGTACACAATAAACATACAATTTTATCTGCCAATTAAAAATAAATTAGAAAAAAGCAAAAAAACAAAAAACAGGCAGAGCGTGGTGACTCACGCCTGAAACCCCAGTGCTTTGTGAGGACCAGGCAGGAGGACGGCTTGAGCCCAGGAGTTCAAGGTGGCAGTGATCGCTACTGCATTCCAGCCTGGGTGACAGAGCTAAACCCTGTCTCTCTCTCTCTTTTTTTTTTTTTTTTTTAAGATGGAGTCTCCCTCTGTAGCCCAGACTGGAGGCAACCTCCACCTCCCGGGTTCAAGCGATTGTCTTGCCTCAACCTCCCTTGAAGTTGGGATTACAGGCAGGCGCCACCACGCCCAGCTAATTTTGTATTTTTAGTAGAGAGGGGGGGGTTTCTCATGTTGGTCAGGTTGGTCTCGAACTCCTGACCTCAGGTGATCCGCCCGCCTCGGCCTCCCAAAGTGTTGGGATTACATGGATGAGCCACGGCACCCTGCCAACCTTGTCTCTTAAAACACACAAAAAAACTTAAAAAAAGAAAACAAAACAACTCGGGTCACTCTCCCGGCCGGTTTCTTACGGTCTGAATTTCAGGACTGAGTATTCCCAGGCCCCGGCTGCTTATGCCGCCGTGTGGTGCCGAAGTGAGATTGATTCTGAGCTCGGCTGGCTGGGGTATGAATAAATAACTGAAGGCTCTGTAACCGCAGGCGTGTTTCCGACTGTGAATCCCGTTCCCGCCCCACGCCCGAGAATGCCCAGACTCACCAGCGCAACTCGCCGCTCGCTGCCTGGCGCGCGCCGGCCTGACGGCAGCCCGCGCACAGCCCCGAGCGTGCGCAGGCGCGCGGCGCAGCTCCTCAGCATGGCTCCGAGCAGCGCTGGAGACCAGGCCGCCTTTGCCCTAGCCACGGACGGCGCACGGTCCTTCCACCATAAAACCGCTCGCCCGAGTTAACCCCTTGATTGGGCGCGACGCAGAGCTTGGCAAGGAGGCGGTGCGTACGGCAGGGGGCGGGGTGTGAGGCTGGCGGGCCCCGGGCAGCGCACGACTGTGAGCCAGTCTTCTGGTTCCGGCCTTTCCTTCCGGAAGACTTTCCTTTGCGGCCAAGCGCCGGGCCCCCTCGGGGCCTCTCAAAGGCGAGGGGAGCGCGGCGCGAGCGGATGCTGGGTACCATTTTCAGCCCGTCAGCCCCTCAGCCTGCGCGCCGACTGGAGGCTTCGCGGTCATTCTCCCAGTGTGGCCCAGGCGAAGGCAGTGCTCGGTGTCCCCAGATAGTTATCCCTCCCGCGGAAGACAAGTCCCTCGGGCGGGTAGGAGCGCACGCTAGGAGTGGTATGAATGAAGTGTTTTCTAGAAGGGCGTGGACAAGTCTCTGGGACACGATTGATAGTGCTGATTTATAGAGGGCCGTCTGGACACAAAAGGCATTTATGCGATTGAAAAGCTGCTTTCCTTCTCAGTCACAAGCCCTGATGAATTGGTGACTCAGACGCTTTGAAAAAAAAAATTAATAAAAGAAAGAGAAAATAGAAAAGCTGCTTTCCTTGCCAACAGCCCCATACCCTCCCCAGGAGCGCACTTGTGCCTTGGAAGACTTTTTCGTTACATAAACTCACAAATTATATTACAAACGAAGGTAATGGGTACTAAAAGAATAATGGGTACTGTAACTAATTATTGTACTGCTATCAATGCTTTTGAGGTTATTTACCTCTTGTATTTGTATTGTGAGAATACTAGGCGCATACCTTTTAAACTTCGAATTCTGTAATCTCACAGGGACCTTGAAATCAGACTGGGTGGGAGTATTGCCATTTCTCCGATACTGCAAATCCGGGCCATCCTCCCCCTTTATTTTCAAATGCTTAACAGTATGCCACAGCCTTAGTCCATCCTGAGGTGAAGACTCTTAATGATTTTTTTTTTTTTTTTTTTTTTTTTTTTTAGGTACAGAGTCTCGCAAAGATACAACTATTGCACTGCAGCCTGGGCAACATACTGATGCTCCATCTCAAAAAAGCAATAAATTAAAAAAGAAACTCCAAGGATCTGAGCGCGTTAGCTATTTTGCCTTGACTCTTCCCATGAACAATTCCAGCTGTTTGTCAGTAGGTAAGAATACACAGATATATTTTAAGCCTACACTTAAATGGGGGAGGGTATAACATTCTGAGACAACGGGAGTTGGAGAGAGAAGGCAATGCGGTTAGGAGGGCCCTTGGAATCCTAGAGCCACTGAACTGAAGATCAAGCATAAGGATGGCTGCTGAGAGTCTGTAATTCTAAGAGATTGTTTTCTGATGTCTCCTAACCCCCCCTCCCCCCCCCACATTCTCTTTATCTCAGTTGTCTTCCTCTTTAATATATTAATAGTATTGCAGTTTCCTGGCAACAGGGATGGGATCAGATTGCCTTATTAATTGTAACAACGTGCACATGATGCTCAAATACTTGTTTAGTAGCAAGAACCCAGAGTGTCTTTGGTGTCTAGTGTTACCATGTTGTGCATGCAGCTGGAGGCACACAAGTATTACAGAAACCTCTAAAATTGAGATGACTACTGTTAATGAATAGAAAAGTTTATTCAGGTAACTTGAAATTGCATGTATTTACAATTTACAATGTAGTCAGTCAAAACCCAACGACTTCAACCTGCTAGGATCGTCTATGAGATTAATGTACGATAGCTCACCTATCAGCTTCTTCTTTTTTATTTTTTTATTTTTATTTTTTATTTTTTTGAGACGGAGTTTCACTCTTGTTACCCAGGCTGGAGTGCAATGGCGCGATCTTGGCTCACCGCAACCTCCGCCTCCTGGGTTCAGACAATTCTCCTGCCTCAGCCTCCCGAGTAGCTAGGATTACAGGCACACACCACCATGCTCAGCTAATTTTTTGTATTTTTAGTAGAGACGGGGTTTCACCATGTTGACCAGGATGGTCTGGATCTCTTGACCTCGTGATCCACCCGCCTCGGCCTCCCAAAGTGCTGGGATTACAGGCGTGAGCCACCGCGCCCAGCCCTTCTTTTTTATTTTATTTTGAGATGGAGTCTTGTCTGTTGGCCAGGCTGGAAGGGCAGTGGCAAGATCTTGGCTCACTGCAACCACCGCCTCTAGGGTTCAAGTGATTCTCCCTGCCTCAGCTTCCCTAATAGGTGGGATTACAGGCATGTGCCGCCATACCAGGCTAATTTTTTATATTCTTGGTAGAGACAGGGTTTCACCCTGTTGGCCAGGCTGGTCTCGAACTCCTGACCTCAGGTGATCTGCCCGCCTCCCAAAGTGCTGGGACAGGCATGAGCCACCACACTTGGCACCTATCAGCTTCTTAAAACACTTTAGACTTAGGGCAATTATGGGTCAGTTACACTCAGTTTAACTGAGTTTAACCTTCATTAAACTTTAAATTTTTCAAGTAGCAGCAGTGCATTTAGCCAAGTCATCCACACTCTTGCGTGGCTTATACTCTGGGGTATTTGTGTTGACAACATATATAAAATGGCCAGATTTGGAAGAGGAAGGGCAGGTTGCAGTTAGAAATAGGATTGATAGGCTATGGAAGTGGAAGAGTTTGAAGCTTGTATGTTTTAGGCAAGGAACAAATGTTCAATCTTGATAGAACTATGCTTTGAATAAGCCAGTGATATGAAGCTTAGTAGTCTTCTCACCATTCTTAAGTTTTTTAGGCAGCTTTATTGAGATATAGTTGACATAGGCTAGACGCAGTGGCTCACACCTGTATCCCAGCACTTTGGGAGGCTGAGGCAGGTGGATCACATGAGGTCAGGAGTTCGAGACCAGCCTGGCCAATATGGTGAAACCCCGTTTCTACTAAAAATACAAAAATTAGCTGGGCGTTGTGGTGCTTGCCTGTAATCCCAGCTACTTGAGAGGCTGAGGCAGGAGTATCGCTAGAACCTGGGAGGCAGAGGTTGCAGCGAGCTGAGATCGTGCCATTGTGTTTCAGCCTGGGCAATAAGAGCAAAACTCTGTCTAAAAAAAAAAAGCCGGGCATGGTGGCTCATGCCTGTAATCTCAGCACTTTGGGAGGCTGAGGCAGGCAGATCACAAGGTCAGGAGTTCATGACCAGCCCAACCAACATGGTGAAACCCCGTCTCTACTAAAAATACAAAAATTAGCCAGGCATGGTGGCACACTCCTGTAATCCTAGCTACTCAGGAGGCTGAGCCAGGAGAATTGCTTGAATCCAGGAGGTAGAGGTTGCAGCGAGCCAAGATTATGCCACTGCACTCCCAACGCCAGGCTATAGAATGAGACTCCGTCTCAAAAAGAAAAAAAGAGATATAGTTGATATAAAATATACGTATTTAAAGTGTACAATTGGATGTTTTGATAGAAGTTTACACCCATGCAACCATCACTATAATCAAGGTAATGAGCATATCTATTACCCACAAGTTTGCTCATGTCCTTTTGTAAACCC